TGTTCGAATGATCCGGGGCGGGGATCGTTATGTCGCGCTTATAAATGGAGATCGGGAATAATGGGAGGGGCGCGAAATTCGTGTAAAGTTCCTCGGAAAATCCCAAAGCGCCGTTAATGCTCGCCAAGCTCGCTTACCACCGCGAGTATTACCAAAAGTGCGTGAGCGCTTGTAATTGAGAATGACGTATAAAACAACCGGACGACGAGCCGTTTAATCCACTTAGCACTCGCGCGTTCATCAACGACGCGAAGACGTCGCTCTCGGCTTTTTCTCCTCGTTCAAACGAGCCACGGAGCAAGGAACCTCGTTACATGGAAACTCCGAGTACGAAATCCTTCGACGAATGTCAGGCGAGAGTGCTCGTTCGGCTCCCCTCCAATCCCTTTCATAATACATCCGGGGAAACCAGCCTCCCGATCCCAAGGAGCACGCGCGCCGATCGCTTACGAACGAGCGAACAAATACCAAGGACTCGTGTAATCGCGGCCCTCGCCACGCGAGACATAAAAAATACACGATCACGTCCTGACTTGGTTTATTCAGCGCTCTCGTGTTTGCTCGGTGTGCTCCACCGGGTCGGTGAGACAATTTCGGGCTGCCGGCAAGGGCGGAGGCCAACCGCGTGTGTAAGCTGCCATCCGTATCCTTCCCTTTCCAGCTTTTCCAGCCCTCCAGACTCAACGGACTCGTCCCGCGGGACGCGCCAAGCGACAGCGGACGAGAGGCGAAACAGGTGCAAAGTCCAAGACTCGGGCGCCTCGTCTTCCTCCTCGTCCCTCCTCTTTTTTCCAACGTCGGATTAATGCGTAAGTTTCATAATCGGGAGGAGCGGGAGAGTGTGAGCGACGCGGCTGTGCAAGAGCTTGGAGAGTTTGGGCCGACGCGGGAGTATGGCGTGAGTACGTGGTATAGTATAGGCCGGCGTGACGGGGGTGGGGGAGTGTAGGCGCTCTTGATTACTCGGGCAGGTAGCGCCAGTGCAACTCGCTTGGGCAATTTATTGCGCTACTGCATTCAAACAGAGCGAAAAGTTCCTTTTATACGTTTATGTATTCGTCGTAATACGGAGTAGTGGAGCCCCTGCCATCTCCAATGTGCGTACAAACTTTTATTTCCAGCGCCATTTTCATTTCGCGTACGTATCTCTTTTCTTACCACTGCCTATCTTCGTCTCGCCTTCGCTCCTTATCTCGTTCGCCATTTGTTTAGTCACCCACACATCGCGATAACTTTCGTTATAATCCTTCTAGAGGACAGTAGCAAATTATGCTGAGGAAATATTTAAAGCTGTATAAGTCGCGCTAGTAAAAGAGAAGCGACATAACCGAAATGAAAATTGAGGTCGCGAGTCACGAAACAATAAGGAGTAAGAAAAGTTTATTTTTCAAATACAATCTGCTGGTTCTTTTATTTATTTTTTTTTTTTTTTATTGTGTTTTTTTTGTGTTTTTTTTTGTGTTTTTTTTTTTTTTTTTGCTTTTGTTTTTGTAGTCGTTTTTTCACCAGACTGATTTATTCTAACGCTGTGTTCTAAATATGTGCAACGTGCTGCCCCCACGTAAATTAATTCAAATAAATTTAGCATAAACTCCCCCAACCTATCCACCCTCCTCCACGCAATGTGCGTGTGTCTGCGCGTGTGCGTGCGTGTGACGTAATAATGGCACGATTGCAAATGCACGCGTGAAATTGAAGGTAAATAATGTAATACGAGCTATGGGATATCGTAAGATCGACTTGTATCGCGATAATGTCTTATGTGAATTACCTTTATTTCCCTCTAATACCACTCAAAAATTTGTAAAATAACAATAAGCAAACAATCCGTGAACCCGTGCAATTGCTAATTGAGGCCATTAAAAGAAAGGCAAAAGTATAGAAAATAGTTGATGCTATGGCGTGCTCCCTCCCACCGCCAAAAAATCCTCTCTCGTAATTACGAGTTACCAGAATCGAAGAGAAGCGATTATCGGCTCGAGCAAATAATCGGCAACGGCTGCCAACTGAGCGCCACGCAGATTAGAAGGTAGAAAGGTGAAATGTCAGAGTAGCTAGTAACGTCCAACTAATAGAATGCAGGAATCGTGTATTAGCGAGGAGTCGCGCCTCTGTCGAAATAATACGGCGATTGGAATTGATTTTTTCGTATTATGGGAGGGAAACGCGTCCATGTGCGCGTGCATGCAATAGAATGCGGGGAGAGTCGAATCGCGATCGGCTCTAAACCGCCGGCTACTGTTAATGTCCAACTACGTTAATGATAATGACGGTGGGATTGATTTTCATTCGTTTTGAAAGGGATTGTGCGCGTAGGACGAGGGGGCGCGTTTGACTGTTTACTCTGAAATTTTTCTGGATATTCGCTTCCGCGGCAATGAGTTTCTATCCGACTCTTTGCCACGCCGCTCGAGCCCGCGAAACATAAGCGATTATTATTTATTTTCCGATTGGCTTTTTCAAATAATTGAATTATAAATTTTAATGTGGAACGAGAGTGGCCAAGTCGCCAAATCAATAAAAAGCAATAAAAAAAATTACGGGGACGTTTCGAAAGTTTGGCGTAAAATTGTGATCCGTAAAGTTTTTATTTACGGCCATTAGATCGGAAAGATCGCCCGACCATTCAAACGAAACTTGAATTTAATTTAACATTGAATATATAATTGATCGTGGATAATCTAACCCGATGGTATCTCAGCCATTCTAGCGGAATTCAAGGCCAGACACACAGACTGCAAATAGCATTCGTAATCCGATTCTAATTATTATTCCGCCAATCTAATGTATTTTCTAATTTAGCCTTTAATTTATTAGGCAACAAGGATATATTAATGAATGTGCCAATTGTAGAGCATGAACTCGGGCCCCAATAGAAATATTCTTAAATCGTCGTTAGAGAAGATAGAGAAAAGATAGCGGGAATGGATAGCGCAGGTGGATGTCCAGCGGTAATATCCTAATAGTCGCCGAAATATTGCCTAATTGACCGCCAATTTAATTAGGCAATTATCGATGCAATGTGCTAAAATGCCTTTAATCATTGGTAATTATCCGGAGATTGGCGCATCTCGCGAAAGGACGCTTACCCATTACGTACGTTCAAGAATGGTGTTGGTGTTGCTCATACCATCGCGGCTTTTCCCTACCAAAGAGCGCATTCGTAATCTCCGGTAGGAAATCAGTCAAATTGCTTTTCGGTGACGATGTCTCGGCTCCCAAAACCTTTCAACATTATGTTAATCGTCACTGCTAAAGGCACTCGATATAAATTGGCAATTGTAGCGACAAGTTAGAAGCGGCTAGACTAGCGAGTAGAAGAGCTACGATGCCAGACATTGCCGAGGGAGCCTGAAGAGTCGTGACGGTATCTCGGGACGGTCATTGTAAAGTAGGTAACGACAACGAGATCGCTCGTCGGTCCAAGTCCAAGGCGCGTCTGGCAAATAATAAAGAATCGACGAAAGGAGGAGCGCCAACGGGCGAGAATCGGGTGGGCAAAAGACCGTAAAATTGAAATTAATGAAGGTAGCGGAGAGGGTGGGATGGTTGGCATCGGCATGGACCGATCGTGAGCGCGAGGGGCCCTGGAAAATTAGAGGGTTCTATACTCTTACGGGCTTACGGGCGTCGAAAATTTTTGTTGGAGTATATAACATAAGCCAGAGGTAGCGGGATGGGGCGGGGGGCAACGGAGAAAAGCCGGCCGAGAATATTCCACTCGAGAGTCAGCTGCGGATCGTCAGGGCATCCACTTTTAACGCTCTGCTGCGCACGAATACACGAACAGCGAGAATCCTTGGCTGGAAGGTGGAGGAGGTGCCCGTTAGCCAAGGACGTTTCGCGCTCATGAAGAACGATCGCGCGGAAATTTTTCATGCTTATCGAGGCTAATCACAGTGGATCGGCGACGTCGGCAGCCATTGTTTAGCCCCCGTTTATCATGATACCCTGTCGTCCTTGCGCTCACAATTTTTAAGAAAGAGCAAGGACGAGTTTATATTTATAAATTGCCGGGCGTGATGCGGAAAAGGCTTTCTTCATTAGCGTGAAAAAGCGAGAGGAGCCTTAACGAGGAGAAAGCGAGGCGGAGTCGAGGGCGCAAAGTGCTCGTGACGCTGACGCCGAGCGTGAAAAAGAAAAGAGGAATACTAATTTAATGCTTTATTATTGAAATCGGTGCAGTGAATTTTTCATTCGAATGGATTAATAAGACTGCCGGTCGCTATCGCTTTAATGAGACGCTTTTTATGTACCCTCCACGAGCTGTGTATTATTAAGCTTTTTCAAGGATCCGTCGAATCCGTCCGCTTCTCTTGGTTTTTTCAACTATTAATCAAAGTTTTCGTCCAGTTGTCTGCCATTTGTAATTGGATAAATTTAACCAGCTTATAAACATTCGGAGCACCGGCTATAAGTAAAAGTACTTGCCCCGCGCGGACTTTTATGTGAAATTGGAAATTTTCTTTAACTCGAGTCCTACGATTTCGTAAAATAATCCTGCTTACAATTATTGCTCGTAAAATTTTATTCTTAAAGCTTCGGTGTGTGCACGCGCGCGTATGCGCCTCCACACGTACGAGATGAGTACGTAGCGCGTGAGAAAAAAAGTCTGTCGATGAATCATGATCAATTTCTACATTTGGGCGAATGCCTTCCCTGAAGACTACATAAACGGCACGGCAAACTTTTTTATCGACGGTCAGTCGTATAATAAGAAGATATATATATATATATATATATATGCGTGTGTGCGTGCGTGCGTGCGTGCGTGTGTGTGTGTATAAATCTCAGATCGCCTTGGCATTCGTAAACAAGAGGCTCAGTCAACCCAAGTCGCTTCAACCCCGCCGCGATAACCCGTCAACGTGAGGAGGCCTTGATTTGTCCAGCCAACCGCCAAATCGAAATAACGCGAGGCGATTGGCAAAGCGTCCGTAGTACCCGTAGCGCTGTTGAAAAATCCATCCTCTCCTAATTGACTTCCTCGGTTGTTTCAGTCAACGGACCCCTGCGAGAAAGCAAGAGCGCTCGCGGTCTCGAGAGCCGCCCTTCACTGTCGCAGCGTAGTGCAAGAGGGCACTTTCGGGAAGGTTTATCGGGGCAGTTTGAGCCACGTCGGCCGCGAGCAGGAAGTCATCATAAAGACAGTTACAGGTAGGTTGACGACGTGACTCGCTCGAGAATTAATTTAACTTTTTGAATGTACGGCGCTACGGCCGTCTCTGGGAATTATGGGCCTCTAACTAGGCGGAAACTAATCATAAACCGGTCCAAGTTACTTTCCCAACCAACTCTCATGATTGACATGCTGAATCTTTCGGTACGCATTATCCAACGTAAATAGCGCTTTATTACGTTTTATCGCTTCCTGTGTCTTTTGTTTCTTCTCCTCTCAAGCTCTCTCTCTCTCTCTCTCTCTCTCTCACTCTCTCTCACTCTCTCTCACTCTCTCTCTCTCACAGACTCACGCACTCACTCTATAGCCCATAATAATCGATAGCAGGCAAGCCTACTCGAGTAATTGTAGATTCAACACAATGGAAATCTAAATACGATATAGCTGTCGAATAATATTCTATCGGTAAATTTTAATATGCATTTCAATTTCCATTTGAACTTTCTTATCTCTACACATTCAATTAGTCAAATGACCAATGTAACTCATTAAATTCATTAAGGCTTCAAAGTTTAATAATTAAATTGCGCATTTTCAAACAAGAATTATGTATAAAAGTCGAAGAATGTAGATATTATAGTGATTTATTTTCTCGATCATAAACATTCTTGTGCGCATAATGCACTTTCATGAAAGTGGCCGGTAAACCAATTAATTTATTATAAGAAGCTACGCAAATTTGAAAATGAATACAGCTTCCTTGTATAGGTGCATTAGTATATATATATATATATATATATTTTTGTTTTTAAGGATGCTTATATAACCACTCGCGTAACAGCACAAAGGTAATTTAATACCTCCGTTTGGTCATGAATAAAGCACAGAATGAAAGTAGAAGCCAATAATGGCAAAGCGCTATAAGAAATCCTAAAAACTTTTTGTCGGTCAAGCAATGTGTCGCTTAGCCAAACAAAGTTCAAAATACAAAGTGTAAAGTGAGACACAATTGTAGCCAAGCAGCCACATATAAAAACACTCGGCAAAAAAGGGAGATGATATATATATATATATATATATATATATATATATATATAGAGAGAGAGAGAGAGAGAGAGAGAGAGAGAGAGAGAGAGAGAGTGAGTGAGTGATACAGGGGTGAAAGCACAAAAAATCTACCGCGGCTGAATTATTAACCTGCGGGCGGTATCGAAGAGGTCCACCTTGCCGACGATCGATCGTCCAGCGAGTAATCTCGTACACAACAGGTGGGACACACTAATCCCTGGCAGTGCCTCCCTTATTCCGTAGACATTGCAACGGCGTATCAAGCCTCGCTACTCGTGGTGGAGGGCTCGCAGTTGGCGGGCCTCGTCCATGGGAACGTAGTCGCCCTCGCAGCCGCCTGCCTCGAGGACACTTGCCCGATGCTCGCCTACGTCTGCTCGCCGTGCGACCTCAACCTCAAGATCTACCTTACCGACGGCCAGCATCACCCAGTGACGCGCGACCTCGTGAACGTCGCCGTCCAGGTGGCGAGGGCCACCGCCTTTCTCCACGGTCGTGGCATCCTCCACAGGTCTGTATAAATCGTGGCGACCCTCCCACGAACTTTCGCCAAATGTGTCAGGACGCGACGGCCAAAATCGACCGATTTATCGCCAATTGTTCGCGACCCGTACCTCGTCGAGCTTCTTTCTCTCTCTTCGCTTCCGCCAGAGAGAGAGAGAATGAGAGAGAGAGAGAGAGAGAGAGAGAGAGAGAGAGAGACAATGCGATTCTTCAATTCGCTTAACGGTCAATATTTTTGCGCTTCGGACATCTTTTACGACAAGGGGTGAAGCGGGCGAGGGGTTGGCGGATCTACGACCGTGTCCGTGTCCCGCTCAACCATGACGTCTTGGTCATTGAAATAATCGTGGTGAAAAGTGGAGTGGGTGAAGGCATTCGATTTATTCCTTCGTCGATTGCCGTTACTTCACTGTTTGGACTCACTTGGTGTGATTTTTTTTTTTTTTTTTTTTTTTACTTTGTTACTTTTTTGATAATCCACGTCTGGAATCTCGGCTAATCTCAGCGAAAAAAAGGCACTCGAACGAACCGTAGAATATTCGACCATTGCTCATCCGGAATAACGCATTTATAAATTATTCGGGGCGGAAAATGTAGGGACTGACGTTGGATATGACGGGAATGCGTGAAAACAAAGTGTCCCTACGCGTTGAGTAGAATGAATTAAATATATAACGAAGGGCACACGGGTTGATTGCAATTGATAAAGACCAATGTTTTCCAACGAAAAAACGCTCGATTGATCCGTAGAATTGAATTACATTCTCCGTCATTGTTTACAGTTCCACGCGCACCTCCCACTCGCTAATAAATCTCGTCCCGTACGATTCACCATTCAGCTTCCTACAATTAATATTATTCTTTTATTTCTCGAACGGGACGATAACAGCGATGCGTCGCGCGGATCGATCAACTTTTAAAACGCCCGTGAAAATATCAAAATCCAACGCGACTCATCAAACACTCATCAACAGCAACGACATACACTATCAATAAAATGTAAAAACAACAATACCGAAGTCTTCATTATCGCACGTTTCGAGTATTCGATGCTTGGATCATGCGCCGTGTGGTCGCGATCGAATGTAAAGGAGTTCCCACGTGTTTCGGCCTCGCTAATACGAGCCTCCCCTTGCCACTTGTTGCGCTCATCTCTCGACGGCGCGAACGCCCAAGTCCTCGGCGAATTGAGCCTCGTCCTCTCCTACGTCGCTAGCCGAGTGGTCGAACAAGCAGGACATCAAACTGTTACAGAGACATTGCGACGAGGAACTGCCTCGTGGATAGTGGGACGCTGCGCACGCGGCTGGCGGACTCTGCCCTTGCGCGGGACCTCTTCCCCCAGGACTACCACTGCCTCGGCGATAACGAGAGCCGGGCCGTCGGCTGGATGGCTCTGGAGACGCTGCAGCACGGCCAGTACAGCACGGCAAGCGACGCGGTAAGGACCTCTAGTCTTAGCCAACACCTTCCGCTACATGCCCCCCCCCCC